CGTGGTTAATTGAGTTAGTAAGTCCACGTTCCCGCGTAAACGCATTACGAAAAACCAGTTAATATGTGAAAAACTGTAATGCTTAAAGCACCTGCAAGGATCGGAATAAATTCAGAGTTAAAATTCATGCACACTCCAAACTTTTTTGAATCTTTCGTACATGTCGATATTAAAGTAGAACGTTATTTGTGCAGCCGAATTGAAGGTTTCTCCATTTTTAAGCACAATGATAATTTCTTGATGACAGGGGTTGCGTTTCAGAAGCTCTCTCGAAAAGTGAGAACCTAAGAAGTAAAACCCACGATTTGTGGTGAGGTTTATGCCATTTAGGTCCGTGTAGATCCTCCCGCTTTTCTATAAACATTTCCCTCAGACAAGGCAAACGCTTCATATCCTCTTTTCCTTCAGTTAAAATGTGTCGTAGTAATGTTTGTAAACACGCATTTTACGTATTTCACACAAATTCTCATATCGTGTATCATCAAGGAGTTTAATTTAACTTACAATACCGTTTTGAGAGCGCCGTAAAACTACACATTTTGACAAAAATACAGTCAGCAGCGTCCCATGTATGAAATCACCTGGCCCAACCAACTAAAGATGCATGCACCGGGTATATAAAAGCCCATTGGCTGCAGAACTTCCCGAATAAGTGAAAATTACCAGACATTCGCATATACTGGTATATAAAATCTTGACAAAGTGGCGCCGGGATAGTGGAGACGCAATATGGTAACGGATAAATTTACCTCCTAGTTACTGAGGTAGTACTTATGTAACTTAACTAAGGTGGATGATACACGGAACTCCTAAAATGTGTCAACCTACGCAAAATATGACCGGAAGTGGTTGGTTGAATTTTATTATTATTTGGATATGTATAACTGTCGAAAAGGAGACTGACAGAAGCGAGGTTTTTTTAAAATTCGATTAATGGATGTTTGTAATAAAAAGCAACTTTTAGAAATTATTTTAGTTTTCTTGAATCATTTACCAGCACCACCCAACAAAAACTGCAACATTTTTCTATTGAAAGTTTTAGTTTCATAAAGTTCATCTATATGCTGTTAGATAGCTACAAATATCCATTAACTAATAATTAGCATGTGAAGCAGAAAGTCGAGCAGGACACCATTTTTATATACATTGTTTCTTTACTATCGTTATGAGTTCGATTGTAGTCGTTGAGATGCTGTTTTATAACATAACTTTAAATATGATCAGTGCGTTTATAGCCCCTATATATGTACTCGAGAATACATATACATAGACGCACACGGATTCCATTGGCAGAGCGGTTGTAATGCAAACGTGTCAGGGAATATATTAGCATGATGCGCTAGAAGTTGCAACGACCCACGTTTGCAGGGGAGTATGTTGATTGTACTGACAAACAGCTTTACCCTACTGTCAGGTCAATGTAGCCTTCACGTTTCAAAAACATTTAACCAGGCTTACGAGGTTATTAGAATGCAAATGCTTCGGTTACCTTTTCAACCGGCAGATCCAAAGCAACCTCCGTAAACTCGCATGGATGAATGGTTGTCTGTTTATCGTTCGTAGAAAGATCACTGGCTTGGCCGTCCACACCGTTAATAAGGCATCTGAACAGGGGCACGTAGGAAATATAGGGTGAGCTGAGAGCTTTCACCACGCTCCTGTTGGCATCAAAAGGGATAAGATGAACGTTCCAAGAGACACATCTTAGCTCAGGTTGTCGATTATCAAAATTCTGACCTGTCGTGGAACCATTGTCATGGTGATGAATCTTCATAGTCGGAAAAAAACGAAGTCTCACAAGTGTGCCCAAGATGTCACTGACAATCACCCAATCGCGGCCGTCGGGATCCTTACACCTGGCGACATTGCGACCGCCTTGGGGAGCGATTGGAATCAGGTCGATGCGACTAACGGGAGCAGCGGCCAGCATTTGGACTACGATCTTAACACGCTGTTTGGCAAAGTTATTCTGTTGAACAGCTGAAAACCACTTGGGTTCACCAATCTCCTTTCCCGCCGTGGTGGCGCCGTTCTCTGATGTGATAAGTTCATCAACTGGGCCAAGACTTGACTCGCCCAGTGAACCCCATTCCAGCACCGCGAAGTAGCGCACGCGACACCAATGATTTGTGCTACTGTGCCGATGAAGCTTGAGACGTGGGCAGGCTCCGCCCTCGGGCTTGGTTCGCACGAGGGTGGAAACACTGTGTTTCTTGAAGTCACTTGTCAGCCACTCGAGCGTGACACTCCAGTCTGAACAGGCGTAAGCAAAGCTGGCTGATTCAAGCACAAGACATCGACTCAGCTCTCTGGCAGTCTTGGGAATTGTGAGAACCTCCTCGTAGAGCGTGCTTGCTCCCTGTAGTTCCACTTCAAGCAGCCATGTCCAGTCATCGAAGAGGAAGTGATTGGGCGCCAGTGAGTCGATCTGTACCCACTCAAATTTCCATACCAGCGGACGATCACAGGTGAAGAGAAAACTCTTCTCTTCGTGTGATTTGTTCATCCTGAACGATTCACGATTAAGGATGGTGAAGCGAATTGTCTCGAGCTCACAGCGCATGCCGGCAAGACTACCGCAGAGGGCCAGTCCCACACTTAGCGGTCTGGACTGGAGGGGTGGAGTTGAGGTGCTGATCGCATCGGATCCCTCAGAGGCATCCGTAAGGTTCTGAAAGCCACTGGCTTCGGGTGTAGAGGAAATATGCAATTGCCACTGCTGACCTCCATAGGAGAACTCCTTTGACTGAGCAGATTTCACAAAACCGCGTGTTATCTGCGAGGAAACAATGAATGTAAAGACCTGTGCATCACTTCTACCGCCAAGGCGGACGAAACGATGCAGGGGCAGACAGTTTGCTTTATTTAGGCTTGCAATAGAGCTCTTCATAATGATGAAGTCTGTGGGGAACGGAAACTCAGCAGGTGATTTCCGGACATGATTATTAAGTGCGTATGAACATTGTACACACAATTTCATTGGCAGTTCGCTCAGCCAATCTCTGCACTTCCTGCCTAGTCCTCTTAACCGCCTGTAAAGTATTGACAATCGGCGGTTAGACCAAACGTATTTTAATATTACCATGCTGGAGGTATTGAGAGAATATATGTACAGATTTCCTGATTTCCTAAACGGCAAGGAAAGCGATTTCTGTTGTAGTAAAAATTGATATTCCAGGTTTCTTCGGAGAACCGTATTTGACTGCGTATGCTTAGCAACGACACATTTGCCAAGCTTGCGTTACTGGCGCCATAATACGTATAGTGTTCCAAATTACTTGTCAATCTTAACAATCTGTAATCTGTTAGCGCAAGTCCTAAATGCAGAATGGTTTGGAAGAAATATAAGAAAGCGTTCGGAAAGTCGAACTAACATTTTCAGTTTTCTTTCAACAAAAAACCTCCAGCTTCCACTTCTGTTTCGCACTCGAATTTGATGTGTATTACTAGACGAACGGTTACTTATTTACGTCTACGAGCGTCAAATAAACCGATATTTCATTGTCAGTTTGCACCGCATCTCTCATCATATGGATTCAGGCATTCTGATTGTCTCCGGAAGGATAATGAATGAGAAAGACGTTGGCACTAGATAGTCTATCAAACTGGCCCACAACAAAATTTTCAGTGGCGGTAACAATTTTTAATTGAGAAAGAAAGTGAACTACGCATTGGCGCGACTAATGTCACAATAGGTTCACATACCTGTGGAAGGTTTGGTCAATATGCAAAGCCATAAATCCCCTGGTCAGACATCTTTCTAGGATCCTGTGGTCAGATACTTCCGTAGTCCGTCTTGGCTGGAGACTAGGCTATTGGCCAAGGCAAGATAAAAATTTATTATAGAACACTGTCTAACCACCGCGCATTCTTTTTCATTTAAGATTGTTATGCGCGGAGAAGGGAAACCCGATCAGTTAATCTAAGTGATCAGATGGCAAAGTGACTGTAAGGAGTGAATGTACCTACATCAGGTATGTCGAAATAAAGCATTTAATTCTTATAAATATTTAAAATATAGGCAGGAAGGTTGTCAGTTAAGTCAGGTCATCAGTTGTTTAGAAAAATCCGATTTAAAGAACTTCCTAGGTACTCGGGGTTGCGGAGAGGCATAAAAGATAAATGTGGAGGTTAGTATATCTATACATATACATGCAGAATGGCATTACCGAGAAAGACAGGAAAGAATGGAATGGCCATTTCTGGCCCACTCCCAATGCCAAGGTGTGGAACACCTGGGGCCCGATCCCGTAACCTCTTGTTTAGAATTCCCACCCCCCTAACCACTGAGACACCGGCCAAATGTCCATTCGGTTGCGATCGGGTATATGCAATGGTAGAAGAGCGCTTACCGACCATGTTACGGAACTCACTCGTCCTTTTGTGCCTTGGGGTTCTCCCTCGAGCCCAACCAGCAGCTGCACGGCGTGGCGTACAATAGGCGCTTATAGTGACACGATCAGTGAACGCCTTTCAGCCATTATACATATGTATAAAAAGAGAAGGCTCTTGGAAAAGTTAAGTTGTACACTTAAATCTTGAAGTTGGTGACACTGAGCGGCCGTTAGACGAAATGAGCAGAGGATAAAATAAGATCGGAAAACTAGATCTGTTTGCGGCACAGGATGTACAGTGACAGACAGGCAGCTGGTTGCTGGGAGGGTTGGGCACTGAGTTATGGTAAGCTTTGGGTCGGGGCGAGGGAAGGGAGAACAGTTAGGGCTCCCTGTGCTGGAGGATGAGAAGGAGAAGGGGGAGAGGGATAATTGTGAATCATTGGAAATGCGTGGCTGGTTATTGATACGGGATGAAGTCTGGGGTCAGTACGCCGGCGTTGGATGTGTTAGGCTTTCGGTCGTGCTTCGGTGTGTCGGATGCAGGGGGAGAGGTGGCCAGATAATGAAATTCTACGTGGCCGAATAGGGATTAGTGGTCGTTAGGGTGTGGGAACAAGTCAGTGACCGTGTGCGTAAACCCTCATAATGAGCGTCTAAATCGACATGACGGTTGGTGGTGGTGGTGGTGGTGGTGGTGGTGGTGGTGGTGGTGGTGGTGGTCGTCGTCGTCGTCGTCGTGGTCGTGGTCGTGTTAGAGTGCCAAGCTTCGAGGAATTCTCGAGCCCTTCTTATGTTAGTCAATGCGAACAATTCAGTACCGTACTAATTGAGCCGGTGATTATACTCAAGGGTGTGCGCAAACACGAGAGGCGGAGGGTCACATCGGAGGACGGCTGGCATATGATCGTTAACGCAAATCACAAGACGTCGGCCTGTACCGCCAATATCAACACAAGGGCAGTTGGCGCACGGAATGCTGTACTCGATATTATTTTCTTGTTATTTAGGTACCGGGTCCTTTACTAGGCATAATGTTGTGCGTATGGAGGACGCGTGTGAGCGATACAGATGCCTTTTATTTGTCGGGAGATTACTGCAGGATGTTCTTGAATGTGCGTCAGTGGATGAGATCTCTGCGGCACCTTATCTTTATCAGAAACCAAATCTTCAGTGACAGGGTGGCATATGCGCCACTTCCTGTAGGTCTAACGAATAAACACTTCGTGGCTATCAGGAAGATGGTGAATGAGCTTGCTCGTTTGGAGCTTGCAAATCACAATGATTACAGATCTATTGCCCACTGGGATCCCCTTGCCGTACATGCGCAAGACAGGTGTGCCATTGAGCATCATAGCGCCACTCACTGAACCCCCCAAATATAAACTTGCCAAATTTTCAAACAGTTACCTAAAGCACCTCACTAATAGATCGCAACGCAGCATCAAATACACTCAGGATTTTCTACGGAAGATCCAAAGCCTTGAAGTAAGTACTGACAAATGCATCCTATTGTTCGATGTTGTTGTCCTGTTTTCCTCAGTGGCCTGATGCCTGGAGGAAAATCCCGTTGGAAATCTAACATAGCGTGTTATAGACATACTTAAGCTGTGTATCACGAATTGTTGTTAGTTTGACGACAGGTATTATGAGCAGGTTAAGGACACCCAAATGGGCTCTCCAATATAAACGCTTGCAGAAGGAGACACGATCGCTGGGACAAGAGCTTTATTAGCCTGACCTTTCGGATTCATGCTCGAACACATCATCGAAGACGAAAGCAGATACGGGTGGTTCATACACAAGGGGCTGCAGAACTTATAGGATGCAGTCGCCATGCGACCGCATACCTACGAACATTCATGGCTCTCCCCTTACTCCGGGATCGTCGTATTTGCTGTGCTAATTGTTTGATGGCCGAAATACGCGTCGTTAATTGCAGCAATATCATCAGGTGCAGTGGATGTTGGTGTGATGATTGCTCGACCATCTGATACACCGACCCTGACGTTAGAATAAGTGTTCACCTGACCGCTCCAGCACGGAGTATGGAGGGGGAATATCATTGCGCTTGTTGATGGACTGGGGGCTAGTAAACCATGATTCCAGTAGCTCCCGGCTCACGCGGTTGTCACCTCTTGCGAGAATTTCAGCCTCATCGAATTTGAATGTTTGGCCGGATCTCGTCATATGAGCCGCACCTTGAGAGTTGGCATCATTTATCCGCACCGCTGCAGCGTGTTCGGCCATTCTCGTTCGTAGCTGTCTTCCGGTTTCTCCGACGTAGTTGCTTTGTCCGCAAGTGCACTAGATCCGATAAACGACTCCAGACGTTTCTAGCTGTGGCAGCGGGTGTTTCGGTTTCATGACCAGATTCCTGATGGTTGCCTCCGGTCTGTGTGCAACCCCAACCCAAGTGGTGCGAGAAGGCGGCCGACATCTTCCGAAACGTTCTTGACATACAGAAGCGCCCGCCAAGATTTTTTGTCCGTGCGGTTAGGCCTTTCGTCCCTTTTGCGTATGCACCGGCCGACGAAGTTGCGCAGGTAGCCATTGGCTTTGAAGACCCGTCGGAGGAACTGTAGATCGGAGGTGCGTTTTGACACAACGATAAAGCGTCCTTAAACAACTGCCTTTGTGGCTGATCGGGCGGTTACCGTTGAAGTTCAGTACTTGCATCGTATTTGTCGCTTTCCAGAACATTTTGGTTTTTAGTTCACCACAGTCTTTGCGGCATACGAGGACATCCAAGAAGGCCAGCTGGTTGTTCTCTTCCTCCTCCAACGTAAATTGAATGTCCGGGAAGACGGCGTTGAGATGTTCTTGGAATGTCAACACCTAATCCCGTTCGATGACGACGAAGGTAACATCCTCATACCGGGCCCAGAATTTCGGTCTGTGGTGTTGGAAGACCAGCGACTCTAATCGTTGCATGACCGCCTCGGCGATGAGTTTCGAAATCGGCGAACCTATTGGTGTGCCCTTCACCTGTTCGTAGATTGTCCCGTCGAATGTGAAGTACGTCCTGAGGCAGAACTCCAGGAGCTGAGGGAGTTAGGCGTGGCCAAGACGATTCTCCGTTTCATCGTATTTGCTTTGTAGTAACGGCTCAATTGTCTCGATCGCCAGGTCCTGGGGAATAGAATTAAAAATGGATGTAACATCAAAAGATACCCTGACCTCATTTGGATGGATGCTTACCCCTTTGAGTTTTTCCAGGAATTCTGCTGATGAAGAGACCGTGCTGTCTGACTCAGCGGTCAGAAACCTGAGACGCCGGAACAGCCACTCAGCCAGTCCATACGTTGGAGTCCCTTTGAGCGGCACGATCGGTTAGAGAGGAGCGTCGTCTTTGTGCACCTTAGGGAGGTCATAGAGTCCCAAAGTTCTATCTTGGGGTCTCGCCCTGCGTCTGTTGGTCGGTGTTATTGCACCTGAGTTTTCCAAGGCCAACGACGTCGCATTAATTTCGCGTGTCAGCGCTTTTTCAGGGTTTGTTGCACATTGGACATAGAACTGTCGGTCCTACAGTAAACCTTTGACTTTTTGAAGGTATTCTGTCCTGTCCAGTACAACCGTGGCACGCCCTTCGTCCGCTGGCACGATGACCAAGTCCTTGCCGGCCTTGAGTTCTCTAAGAGCCTCACGCCCGACCTTGGCTAATAAAGCTCCTGTCCCAGCGATTGTGTCTCCTTCTTCAAGACTACTTCCTGTGACACGTCTCTTTGCTTCTATTGGCAATATAGAGGCTCTTTGCAGAACTAGTCGTGGAGCGACTACAAGATAATTTTGTGCAAATTTTTAAACCAAAATATGGCTCCACTATGTAGATGGCACATTTATCATCAAAAAGACCTGCCAAAGTGAACTACTGTACTAGAGCTTAGATGGTGGCTTCCCGGCTATGGAGTTTACTCGCAAAGAAGCAGCAGGAGATACCGTCCCGTTTTTAGATGGAAGTATTGCAAGAGTCAGTAGTGGCAACGTCGCAACAAGCGTCCACCGAAAAGACTAGTGTCTAAATCATTCCCAACTGTGGAAGCAATCATCCTGAGGCCCATAAAAGAAGTTGCGTCCGCTCTCGTTTCCATCCATCCTAGTGGTGACTGACTTAAGAAAGAATTGGCCTACCTATATCGGCTATTTCGGTCCAACGCATATCCAAACAACTTTGTAAGAAATTGTCTCAGTTCTCAGGGTCAGTCACAATGCCTCGACCCTGGTGTCGATAAAGAGCTGCGGGAATTTTATTTACTGCCGTACATTTAAAGCACTCCTGAAGCCATCTGTCGACAATAAAAGCGCTTCGGCTTCTCGTCGCCCACAAGTCCTCAACTGCGGCGTGGAGGCTTTAGGGCTGTGAGTCACACAAGCATTGTTATAGATCTCTAAACAAACAGGAATATGAGTATGAAGAAGTCCTCAGATGTACATGATATATTTTAAACAGTCCCCACTTCTATCTCTGCTGTCAAGCGTCAAAGGGAGAATAGAATACTTCGAAGCCAAATAGTTCTCCACAGCTGTTAAAAATTTTCGTCCGAAGAAAGCGCAGGAAACGTATGTTAAACGAAGAGATTATGAAAAATTTCGCGAGTAGAACATAATCGCGTGGCTGGTCCTGGAGCGGAGTTATGCATGATGCACTCGTCGGCTGTACGGATCATAAATGCGGCATGTTTCTCAGAATTTTATCAATCATGCTCCTCTCGGCATCGTCACGTAGTCTACATCAACAATAGGAGGGCTTCGCTATTTGCTATGGGCTCACCCCTTGGACCTCTACTAGCCGATGTCTTCATGGGAAAATTGGAAAGATTCCAACTAAGCGATCAGATCGATAAACCTAAACATTACGGTCGCTATGTTGACGATATTTTTACCATTGCAACTGGAGAAACCGATGTAGCAACTCTCTTAGATATGGCAAATCAGGCACATCCGTCGATCAGATTCACGCTGGAGATCGAAACGGCCGGGTCGCTCCCTTTCCTAGATGTTCTTCTACACAGGAGACCTGACGGGAGGGTCCGAAGAAGCGTTTATCGGAAGAAAACCTGGTCTGAACAATACACGAAATTTGCCAGTTTCGCACCCCTCCAACAAAAACGAAATCTAGTCCGATGCTTGGCACAAGAAGCTAGAAAATTTTGCTCAACAGATAACATCAAGGAAGAGCTCAGAAAAATCCAGGACTTCGTTCGCGAAAACGGGTTTCCTGACAGGTTTATCGCAAAGAACATTGTCGAACGACCGATCAAACCCGCCACACCGACCGCCGAAAAGAAAACTTTGTTCCCCAAGGTCCCTTTCCACGGGGACGCTGCGAGTGAACTCCTGAGGAGACGCCTTGTTTAAACTGTCTCGCGAACCTTCCCAGCAGCTAGGTTTCAAATATCATTCTCTACTAACCCTATTTTACGTGGAAAAGGTAACGAGAAGTTGCCACCACAGACCACCTCAATGTGCATATATTCCTTCACTTGATCCTGTGGAGCAGGTTATATTGATCGCACGAGTCGGCGTTTATCCAATAGAATACGGGAGCACCTCCGGGCATGGCTGGGAAAAGTCGAAACGAGGAGCATAAGCAGCGCCATTCTCGCGCATGTTGTCGATTCCGGACATCGCGTGGACCCCAACGAAGCTTTTCGTGTGATTTATGAGATCCCATCGAGCAAGCTTAAGCTACTAGGTCAGCGCCTGTTAGCGACAGCGGAAGCGGCCGCCATTAGGTTACGGAAGCCAACCTTATGTCCACAGCAGAACTACGTTCAGGTTCCGCGCCTACAGTGGTCGAAGGTCGACTAAAGCTGAAACTCTCCGCGTCCTTCTGCTCTTACCCCGTCCCTGACACTGACTGCTATTACCTCCCCCCTCCCCCTCCCCCACATTCCCACACCCGCCTGTGTTTTAAGACGAACTTTTATCGATCTCTCTTATCGCTGAAATGTTTGACTTCTACCCCGTTCCCATTTAACTGTACTGGCCCGACAAGAATTTATCGAAGGCTCTGTATGCTCGCCACCTCGTCTTCTGATAACTGTAAAGGCGTACCAAGTCTCTGGCATGATCAGCATTCTCCGCTGTAAACGTGAGCCGTTGCGAATTCTAGTGCATTTTGCTAATATGTTTACATAACACGTTAGGTCTTCAACCACTCTGCTGATGGATTCGGCGTGCGTCCATGCATTCGCATTATTGAATGCATATAAAGATGATAAAAACATGCCGGCAGTATTCGAAATGGTGATTCAAATTCATGGTTACAACTCGATTTTTCAAGTAGCCTTCCCTTTTTCGTTATATCATCAAGTTTTTTTCAGTGGGAATGTACTCAGAGCGCCACGATAGCCAAGATCTTGTTGCGCAGAATCGGTGCAATCTTCCCTTTGCATATTACGCAAGATGCGGTTGATTAAAGCAAAGATGATCATGCTTGATGCGGCTGCCAACGACGCCACAAGAATAAAAGATCCCATAAGGTCATATATTCACAGGCCGGTCGTAAGTATACAATTTACTGTGTAACAAAACAATCTTTCATTCGTCAAATGTTTGGGCACCTTTCGCTGAGGGTGGAGTCCGTTGAGTTTCAGAGTGCCCTTGAAGTATCAGTGAATACTTTACGATTTTCAGTTGTCCATACATATAGGTTCAGTGCAATATACTTACTAAAACCTTGAAAATATGATATTTTTGAAAGCAATTATCGAAGCAGTGAGTGCCTGGGCGTTCTTTTTCATTGAGTTGGCCGTTTGGGTTACATTTGAAGAATCGCCTAAACAGGAAACTTAAATGTCGAACAAATGAAGGTCCATGACATGATCAACGACGAATATGCTTTCAATCGATTAAAAAACTCTTTCTAATAAAATGAATATTCTAAAAATACTCCGGTACTGTATTCTGTCGACGAATGTTTACGTACATTACCTTTCTACACAGTAAAGCCGGAAAAAATATGACACATCATGCCGTTTTTTTCAATTTCCTGTAAAATACTGATGATTTTTTCCTCCGCAAACGAATCAAACTTACCATTCTCTTTATACTGCGGCCATTTTCGCTAACATTGATTACTGTTGGGCTCCTTTCTACGATTATGAATGCGCAGAAGAGTGGACATATATGCACTGATGTATTGCTCAATTGGTTTATGTTCTACCCGCTCCGTTCCTAAATTACTTATAAGCAGAAAGTAGACCGCGCAAAAAGTATCTTTGTATATGTTTAAAATTTAAAATGATCGCTTTATGATGGTCATTTTTACAATTACTCAGTGCGTAATCACAAATAGCAAGACAAAATTAGCATGTTAAAACAGAGAATTGCCTGCAGACGTTACAACTGCACTTTAGGTAACAAAATCGCAAGGACTTACAAATTTGACTGAAAAATCAATGCAGTGTTTGACGGTAGAAACAACTCAATTTCCTAGTGCAGCAAATTTTTCTTAATGCAAATCTTTATATTTGATTAATCCCATCTTATAGGAAAACGAGCTCACATGCGCAAACTACACAAGTCTAGGATGACAATTAAAACTGATAATTACCTGTTTATGGGGTAACGTAGATTTCTGCCCAAACGCATCGAAATTTGCCCAATTAAATTACGTAGAAACATAATCTACATGAAAAAGGGATTAGGCGAATGAACAAGGGACGCAACGTTCTAAGTGACTAAAATTATCATATCAGTTTCCTACATCACGCTCCATGAACAAGGTCACCCACTGTGTCTGCGTGTCGTCTTAGCAGTGGGAGTGTACTCAGAGCGCCACAATAGCCATGACCCAGTCTCGCTTTAGAGAAGAAGGGCAAGACATCAGTATGAGTAATATATTCTCTACAGAAATCTGGTGACTGTCAGACCTCCCGATGCAGAGCCGTCTGCAAACTCGCAGACGTCCGTGGGCTAGG